AAAAAAAAAAAAAAAAATTAGCCAGATGTAGTGGCACACACCTGTAATCCCCGCTACTCAGGAGGCTGAGGCACAAGAATTGCTTGAACCCAGAAGGCGGAGTTTGCAGTGAGCTGAGATCACACCACTGTACGCCGGCCTGGGCCACAGAGTGAGACTCTTATCTCAAAAAATAAATAAATAAAAGATTTGGGGAGTTCCTCAGAGCTCCAGAGGGTCCAGTACCCAAGGGGATTACATAGCTTTAATTACCAAAAAAGGTAATTAAGGAGGAAGTCTACTGACTTTTCAGAGGAGAACAATGCTCTCCAGAGCAAGTACTCAAGGCTGGGTTAGTCTGTGTTTAGAACTATCATGAGACATATCTCCTTAGCCTAAGGTCATCTGAAAGCTGCATGCTTAGCACTTCTCCCCCAGCTCTCTAGGAGGACTAAGTACACCTTGCCTCCCAGATAGTGCTTTTTCTTTCCACTTTGTTTCCTGACACACAGGAGAATGTGCAAAACTAGATCCAGAGGGGAGGAGTTTGGGCATCTGCCTTCCCATGATATCTAAGTCATTTCTACCTACTATCCAAGGTGTGGGTGTCAATGTGATCCTCGACTGCATTGGTGGCTCCTACTGGGAGAAGAACCTCCACTGTTTGGCTGCAGATGGCCGATGGGTTCTGTATGGTCTCATGGGGGGAGCAGAAGTCAGTGGACCCCTGCTTTCCAAGCTGTTGTGGAAGCGCGGAAGTCTGCGGGCCAGTCTGCTGAGGTCCAGGGATCGGAAGGTAGGTGACAGACAAAGCTGAGCAGGTTCTGGGCACTGTCCTTGAGTTATTTATAATCACCTGACTCCGACCTGCCTTGGCTTATAGAATTCCTGCTTATGAAGCTTTGCTGACGTTGCCAACTCGCCTTCCTCTGGATGGGAACCTAAGGGTTAGCCTGAGCCTTCCTCCCTCAGAAGTCTCATTTCCACCACCTACTTCCTTATTTGACTTGGACTTACTCCTCCTCTCTTCCAAATCCAGGATTCATATCGAGACTCCCATACTTTAGGAGATTCAGTGGGTGGTAGGGTCCCTTGATATTCCAGGAGTTCCATTGTCCAAGGGAATTTAGATTGATAAATGACCTTTCCTCCTCCATGGTTTGGTCTGACCTCCTTGAGTCAAGGCTAGTAACAGGGCCAACCAGGCCTGATATTCCCCTCAAAGTTGTATGAGGCCAAGGAGACCTCACCCTTATCCTGTTAATGTGCTGTTCTCTCTGCCTCAGTACAAGGAAACATTGGTGAAGACCTTCACAGAGCAAGTCCTGGCCCACTTCTCCCCTGGGAGTGCTGTGCAGCTGCAGCCTGTTGTGGATAAAATCTTCACCATGGCTGAGATTCAGAAGGCCCATGCTCGCATGGAGGCCAACCAGAACGTGGGGAAAATTATCCTGGAGATGCCCTAATTTGAACACGGTGTGGCTGATGAGAGACACCGGGCCAAGGAGAACTGTCAGGGACGGGACCAGGGGTGTGGGAGTGTGGGAGTGTGGGCTGGGCTGAGTTGGGCCAGGGGATGGGCTAAAGAAAACTGGGACCAGGCTACCTCACAACATTGTTGAGAACATTAAACTGAGACCACAGAAATAAGATCACTTTGTTAGCTGTAAAATACATTGCAGTGGGCAAGGTAGGTACTTTGTAGATGATATGTAAGCTGCAAAGTGTTCATATTTTATAAATATATTATGACAGATTTTTTTGTGTGTGGGGGGAGGCTTTTTTTCCCAATGGCTATACCCCAGTTTTATTTGACTATTCCCGTAGCCAAAATTCCCATATTTGGGGGAATAAACTACATCCAATCTGCTCCCAAATTCAGAATAGTCCTTTGATCTTCAGAAATGGCCTAGGGATTCAGGTCAGTTCTGAAGATCAAAGGACTAGCCTGAATTAACACAGAGCCCTGGCCCTAACCCCTCCTCTGAGTTCCAGATGCATATATCAAACTGACAACTTGACACTTAGATATCTCAAAGGTACTTCTACTTTAACATGTTCAAAGTTTAACACATAATCATCACCTAATATTACTCCTTTCCCAGGCTTTCCTGTCTCCATAAATGCAAACCGCCAATCCAGGTGCCAAATCCAGAAACCTAGAAGTCATCCTTGATACCCCTTCTCTCTCTCATCTTCAGATCCAATGGATCGCCAAGTAGCCAATTTTCTTTTCTAAATCTCTTTTGTCTTTTCCTTTCTCTCCATTTCACCATCTCTCCTAATCCAAGCTACTGTCCATCTTTTACCTGGGCTATTGCAATGGTTTTCTAATTTATCTTTATCTTTTTTTTTTTTTTTTTTTTTTTTTTTTTTTTTTTTTTTT